GTCAGGTGAGGTGAAGTGTGTGTGCCCTGAGTCCCTGCTGGAGATGTGGGACCCACCCATGATTACACAAAGGGAAGGCTTAGCAACGGCAGGATCCCTTCCGTGATCAGGGAGGGCAAGGTCATTCATCTAGGAAGTGTTAGGGTGTGTGCTGTGTGAAGCCGGGTGATCATCAGAGGACATAACTCCTGCCCTGCCTAAGACTGAGGTAGGAAGCCTGCGGACAGGGGTAGAGGCACAGGGAAGGGGTGTGGAAATTAACCAGGGTAGTCAGAGAGGCCTCCCAGAGGACATGGCCAGGGTTGGTCTGGGCCCAGTGAGGAAGCTCTCCCATCTGGGTCACAAGGTCATCCATGGCTGCCCTTCCTCGTTTTATGGGGTGGGGGCAGGCATCAAGTTTAGCAGTGTCCCTGACATTCCATCCCATCCCGCCACCCCTGTAGTGCCAAGTGAGCCTCAGGCCTTCTTGAAACATTGTCTATCCATCTGTTCCGAGGTCTCTCCAGCCTCAAGGAGCCCCAGGTGTTCCCACATGTCACCATCACCTCCAGAAGCAAGGACCCTCACCGCACCCCTTCACCTGGCCTGTCAGGGTCACCCCTCCCTGTGGAAACCCTGTGACACTGAGAACTCGCTGAGCCCCAGGAAGAGCCCAAGCCCATGGGCCCATCACCCACGTGTACCAACTGTCTCCTGACTCAGACCCTCTTATATCAGGTATGTCCAGGATAGAAAGCCACCTTAGACTCGAAAAAGCCTTGTGGCTCCCACCGAGCCTCACTCTGTCCCCATCACCCGGTTTCTAGACTAAGATCAGGGCCTCTCCAGTGACCCTCAGCCTTGACACAAGGCAGCTCCCTTGTCCATCTGCCCTCCCAGCTGAGAGCTACTCTGCCTCAGTCCCGGCTGGCTCCCCATGGCTAGTGCTCAATTAATTGTTCAGTAGCAATTAATTGCACTGACTTGCCTCGGGAGGCCTGGATTTTTCCCCGGCCAGACTGACTGGGCAGCAGAGGCAAGCCTCTTGCCATCTGCAGGCTACCCAGCCAGCCTTTGGGGGGATAGAAAGGGCTAAGGGCAATGCCAGTCAGGAAGTGGTATTCAGACAGCAATGCACCTCTCAGACCGAGCCCTGTCCTTTCCACTCCATTCTCCAGAGGGCAGGCTGTGACTGCCGAGTCCACTCAGGGGCTTGGGGTCTGGCGCGGCGTCCAGTCTGCTGGGGATGGCCATGCAGTGCTGGTGCCCGAAGCTGGGCAGTTTTGATGGGGAGCCTAATGAGAATGGATGGTCTGGGAGGCCAGCAGCCTCCCAACAACAATTGAGCGTCCAGGAGATTCTGTGTGGCAGGGGGTTGATCCTGACAGGTGCCTGCAGGCATCTGGGGGAAGATTGCTTCTGACGGAAGCCAAATGGATATGAACGTTTACCGGCCACACAAGCACTTTGCAGACCACTCCAGTGTCTCCTGCAGAGCCCCCATTCAGGCCTCAAGGAATCGGGTCTAAGCCAGGCGCTGCTCCCCCACCCATCCCGGCTAATCGTCCCTGAAGCCAAGGCCGAAGGCATTACCAGCCCCAGACCCTGACTGACTTCCCAGGAGATTAGATCCAAGTCGGCCTGAGTGGAAAACAGACGCATGACCACAGCAGAGCCTCAGCCAGGAACAAGCCCACTGTAATTCTGATTTCCGGGCCTGGCAGGGGGCGGGGGCCCTGGCCGTTCTGCCTGCCTAGGGATCCCAGAGGCAGAGGCCATAACTCAGCCTCTTTGCAGTTAGAAAAACAAAAGAGCTTTTAACCCCAGACACGGATCCAGTACATTTAAAAGCTCTCCCCTAGAGCCTGAAGACAAGTTTAGAGATATGTCCATCTTCAGGGTCTCCAGGGAGCCTTGGTTGCACTCAGACTGGTTCCTAATTGCAGGCTCTGACTCGCTCCTTCCTTGATCACTCTGGCCCCCTCCATCTCCCTTCTGCTGGGGACACTGACCCCTTTCAGAACTGCCCTGCCCTACAAGTCCCAAGTGCTCTCCTGACACACTCCCTACCCCTCCCTTTGTAGCTCTATCTGGTGTTGAACTCCCCCCTTGAACCTCCAAAAGAAGTCAATGCCAAGGGTCTTGGTAAGCAATGGAGGTGTCCCGTGTGAGGCCAAGGTCAGAGACTGAAGAGAGGCTGGCTGGCCACTGGGAGCCGCTGGCCTGTGTGAGCGGAGTGGTATTAACCATCTGGATTGCCATGGTGGCCTACGTCATCCCCAGGGTTGGGCCCATGGTAAAGATACTGATTGGCCTCCAGTTCATCCTGAACCAGAACCCTCACTACTCCCAAGAATCACAGAAGTGGGCTTTGCAATTTCCTTTAAAACAAAACAAAATTGCATGAGCCAGGCATGGCAGCACACACCTTTAATCCCAACACTTAGGAGGCAGAGTCGGCAGATCTGAGTTCAAGGCCAGCCTGGTCTACATAGCCAGGGCTGTCCTGTCTCAAAAAACAAAAATAAAACAAAGGTTGGTTTGTGTGTGTGCATGTGTGCCTGTGGCCGTGGAGGCTTCAGGGTGACCTCGGGTGTCTTCCTTAATGGCACCCCCACCTTATTTTATTGAGACAGGGTCTCTCCCTGAGCCTGGAACTCAGTGATTAGCTAGACTGCCTGAACAGCAGGCTGCAGGGACTCTCCTGTGTCAGCCTCCCCAGAGCTGGGGCTGCAGGCTTGAGCAGCCAGACACAGCTCCACGTGGGGCTGGATACGGACGGACAGACAGACACTGGCTATCACGCTCGTGGGGCAAGCACTTTGCTGACTTGGTTTCTCCTTGACTTTGGGGGTTTGGCTTGAGTACAGGTAAATCACAGCCTGACTAAAACTGTTAAACCCCCCATTTCCAGCATCGCAATGTGACCACGCCCCATCAGCGGAGGAGACTCTGAGTGACTGGCTGGGCAGCTTCAAAGCCACAATGTCTAACATCCAGTGGCAGCAGCCTGGGACACTGGCGCTCATACCAGGCCAACCCCAGTCTGGCCTGGAAGTCTGTTCCTGAATGAGTGACCCTGACCTGGTGACTCCTGTCCCCCTCCATACATTCCTGGTCCTCCTATGAGCCACTTTCTGGTGCTTGCCTTTAAAAGTTCGAATGCTGTGCCCAGAGACATGGCTCAGCGGCTAAGAACCTGAACCGATCCAACAGAGGGCTGAGTTCGATCCCACCCAGCACCCACACCGGGTGGGTCACAACTGTTTGTAACACTAACTCCAGGGGATCTGACGTCCTCTTCCAAGGGCTCCTGTACTCACAAGCACATGCCCTACGTGTGCACAGAGTTAAAATGAAAAAATGAAGCTGGGTGGTGGTGGCACACACCTTTAATGCCAGCACTTGGGAGGCAGAAGCAGGCAGGTCTCTGTGAGTTCAAGGTTAGCCTGGTCTACAGGGCGAGTTCCAGGACAGCCAAGGTTACACTGAGAGACCCTGTCTCTAAAACCCTATAAATAAATAAATAAATTACAATCTTGTGAAGAATCGGGGCTCAGAGAACTTAAGTAACTTACATGAGACCACACAGCAAAAGCCACATCATTGCCAGACCCACTGATGAATGGCAGAGGCCAAGTATCACTTACAGGTCACACTGCCTCCTCAGCAGAGGGACTACACCACAGCCCTGTCGCCTGGACTCCATCCATATCAGCAGACACACCCCCCCCAGCTGACCCTGCACCCTGAGGATGTCACCCGCTCTTCACTGCCTGTGCTCAAAAGCCCCTCCCACCCTCCAGGTACTTTACCAACCTAACCCAGGCTACCCCTCTGTCACAGCAACTGTCTGAATCACTGCAGACGCTAAGCCCCTTGACAGGATAGGGGCGGGGCTCCCCGATCACTACATTTCCAAGACCCCGGGCGCATACAGGTGTTCAAGGGAGCCGAGCCCACAGAGCAAGGCTTCCTTAGGTCGGGCATGAGGTCGAGCACAGCACTGCATTCTGCGTAAAGGAAGAAGGGGTTGCACTGTATTTATTGTTTTTTGGTTTATATGGCTTTGATATCTTGAAGCTATTTTTGTTTGTTTGTTTGTTTTGCTTTGTTTTTTGAGGCAGGGTTCCTCTGTGTTCCCGACTGTCCTAGAAACTTGCTCTGTAGACCAGGCTGGCCTCAAACTCAGAGATCCGCCTGCTTCTGCCTCCTGAGTGCTGGGATTGAAACGGGGATTTGCATTTCTTAATTTGCACACAGGGGTCAATGGTGTAAAGAGTCTGGGAGGCTCTGGGGAGGGTCAGAAGCCTTCAGTGTGGAGAAGGGATTGCAAACTCATTTCCGGGAAGTACCCCTCAGCTCCAGACCAGGACAAGTCACAGCACACGGGACGGCTCCTGCCTGCTTTCTGTTGTTTAATGCCCTCTGAGTAGTACTGAAGACTATGTGAACATTTCGTGAAATTCAGATCTCAGTGAGAACAGCCCAGTTATTGAGACAAAGCCACGCCCTGCTCCTTTTTGTCTTATTTCCCCTACAATGGCTCCTGAAGACGGCAGGGCCTTTGCTGAGCACGAGCCTCTATTTCCTGCCGGGCGCTCTGCAGACAAGTCAGGCTTGCGGGACGCACCAGCTCCCTCAGCTCAGAGGAACCTCAGGGTACCTGTGGCTGGCTACACCACCCCTGCTGCCTGGTACAGTCTTCCACTGTCCAATCAGGCAGACCTCGGGAGGAACAGGGCTCAGAGTCCCCTCCTTCCTACCTACCCTGGACAGAAAAGAAGGGTTACTCAGTCCGCGTAGTGACGGGTCCCTAGGCATCTCCATCCCAAGGCCTCACCCCACCCCACAGCACTCCTGAGAACCAAGGCCTGGGTGCTCGGGGCTCAGGGGCAATGGTGCCTCTCACCTGGTTTCCGCTCCCTGAGGGCAGACTCACCTGATGTCTATAGGGAATGGGAGGGGCTGCAGTTAGCGTCAGGCAGAGCGTGCTGGGTGCGCTGCCTCTACAGACTCACCGTCCAGCCTCCGCCGTCAGTACGCATGTCACAGTAGACCTGGAAGCCAGCTGGGTAGTGGGTGGGGAAGACGGAGTAGACACCATCATCCTGCTGCCCACTCAAGAGAACGTCCAGGCAGTCCCGGGGCCGAGAGCCTGTGACAGGGGAGCCAGATCAGGGTGACGGTGGCCCAGATGCTACGTTCTGTCATCCCTTCCCTCCAGAGAGGTCCCCGGCTCTCTCTGACAAGTCTGTTCACCTTGCGCTTGTCAAGAGCACAAGCCCTCAGTCCCCAGTGAATCCCCGGGGCCTTGCCTTCCTCGTCTGGAAAATGGGCTCATGGCTCACCAGGTCAGGCTCTGAGTCACCTGGCCCACAGGAAATCCGTTTTTTGTTTTGTTGTTGTTGTTGTTGTTTTTTTTTGTTTGTTTTGTTTTTTTATAACAGCATCATGTCCTTTCTATCAGAGTCAAGGTGGTAGAGGGTGGTAGACAGCCCTCACTGCAAGTTTCTTCCCTGGAACTGGGCACCCGAGCCACCCAGAGAAGGCAATCGAGTTTCACCTACCATTAGCGCATCCTCGGGGCCGGGCTCCTCTGGAAGGGGCCCTTTGAAGGTCAGCCTTGACCCGGGGCCGGCCCAGCCCCCGCTCCCTTTGCAGAGCCTCCAGGACATCGCTGACAGAGTTCACCAGGTGAGCCATGTGACCTTGGCTCTCAGAAAGCAGCTGCAGAGTACAGAAGACATCAGAGGGGACACAGACCTGGGGAGCCCCTGCCAGGGAAGCCTTCTCCCTCCCCTCACCCTCCACCGCTTGCCCTGGCCTCAGGGTCATGTTCCTGGCAGTTCGAGGGGTCAGTGGAGCTCTAAGGGGTTAGAGGACAAGGGCTCTGGTGGAACCCTGGCCACTGCCATGCATCCAGCCCCCTGACAGGGCCAGTGCAGGAAAAGGCAGCAGTGGGCATCAGCCCAAGCTCATCCTCCTGAACCCGCCTCCATTCTGTCGGTGGGACAGGGTGTCACGTGGGTCAGGCTGGCTTTAAACCTCCGATGCTCTTGCCGCTCCCTGCCCCCAGGTGTGGAAATCACAGACAAGTATATGTCTATACTGTACCCAGACAATTACACACCCAGTATATACATTGCTGGGAACCCGGCCTGGGCTTCCTGCTTCGCAGGCAAGCACCGCCCACCGTGCCCCACCCCACACCCCAGCAAGCCTAGGTTGTTAGGAGGGAAATGAGTTGCCCTCACCTCCCCAGCCTAGCTGCTGTAGGGACCTGTGACTACACACACAGCTCCAGTGTGGCATGGGCCCCATTGGGGTCCTCACTTTGCCTTCCTGGCTATAGTGCAACCCAGCCACCATTTCTTCTAAGCCCCCACATGAGGAGGCTAAGGCAGGGTGTGTCCCTGCACTTAGAGAAATGGGCCGGAGTCTTGGGAAGAGCGTAGAGCCTGGGAACGAGTCACTGGGTTCAAACTGGGTCCCAAGTAAGGACGCCCTCTGCTCCCTTCGCCACCCCCCAATTTGCAGGGAATCCCCATAGATGCCCAATGTCCATCACTTCACAGGGGCCCCACGTGCTGCAAAGAGCCAGGACTTAAGATGTTACCTCCGTGCTCCCAGAGGGAACCAGAAGCCTCGAGGGAGAAAGACCCTGCCAGTACACCAGTGCATATGAGAATCAGGATTCATACGGCCTCCTCAGGGCAGGTGGGGGGCAGGGGGAGGGAGCAACCACTGTACTACCAACCCGGGTGGGGGTGGGGCCCAGGCCCTGGCGTCCCCTGAGTGGGTTGTGGCTCCAGTCCTGTACTCCATCGGTTGTGTGACACCCTCCCTGCCCTGTCTGCACACCAGGAGGAGGGGCCTTCTTTCTGGGGTGAACTGTCACCACTACACGTCCCGGGGCACTCCAGCCATTTGAGGTAACACATACCCCTCCCATTTTCCCCTCCATCACTGTCCATGGGTTGGAGCTCAATAGAGCAGCATCGATTCCCCAGGAACCCCTTACTGTGCTGGCTGGATGCAGGGTGTGGGGGTCCCCTGCACCCTCACCCTGGGCTTCAGAGAGCTAGGGGACCCAGCGGAGAGGGAGACGGTGGGCAGCTCGCAGCACGAAGTAAGCTAGGTCTTGCTCACCGAACCTGTCACTCGCCAGATAATAGCCCATCGGAGAAAGAGAAAGAAATACACCCAGCCAGCAGTTTACAAAATATGATTCGCGGCTCGTCCGAAGGCTGGGCTCTGCGAAGCTCTAGGCCTTGTTGATTTCCCCTCTGCTGAGCAGGTGATCAGTGGTCTCCAGGAGCACTGCTATGGGCAGGGGGAGCCCGCTGCCCCTACCACAGTGACCTATGGTCAGGCTCCATGGAGCCTGTGGGGACACAGGCAGCCCTCGGTGACAGGGTGGCAAAGACCCCCCAGTACCCCTTACTGCACAGCCCATCCTTTTGAGTCGCCATGGTCATGACATTCAGCAGCTTGGGCACGGCCCCTCCCTCTCCCTGGCAGGCAGAGGAGACCTCGGTTTAAACTAGCAAATGATTACCACTGAAACATATAAACCTGCCCCGAATTAATAGGGAGTCAGTCACTGCTCGCTGAGCCGCACAAACCATCATAAGAAGAGCTGGCGGCGACCAGAGGCCGTGAAATCAGGGCAGCTGCTTCCAGCGAGGCCCAACAGTGACCAAGCTTCCACCAGGCCCTTCACCACTGAGCCTCAGTCTGTCCCTCTGCAGAGTGGGGCGACAAAAGTCCCTGCCCCGGGGAAGCAGACCATCACGTCCACTCACAAAGCGTCTTCAGTGGTGGCTCCCTATGTGCAGGCTACGGATGGAGCAGACTCTGGGTGTCTCCACATGCTAGAGGCCTGCCGAGCAAGCCCTGTGCAGCCAGAAACACCAGCATCCCCTCGGGCTTGGCCCGGCACCCCATCTTACAGGTGGGGAGAACCTACCTAGAGAGGGGATGTGACCCACCCAAGATCACCCAAAGCTAAGACGGAACCCACACTGTATCCTCCAGTCAACACGAAGAGCCGCTAACCTTAGCTGGGCCGGTGAGCATCACACCCTGGCAATTATGGCTTTGGGAACAGAACCAAGGGTTTCGGGAAGGGGCTGCCAGATGGGCGAGGGAACATGGCTGGTTGTCTCTGAAGGACAGAAAGCATCTCGGGTGGTCCTGTACCAGGTGAGTGGCAGCACTGGAGCCTGGGGACACTACCCATCTTGCGTTTCATGGGGGACATTCCAGCTCAGAGGGCTGCCTGTAGCCAGCCTGAGCTCGCCAGGGCTGAGTTCAGGGAAGGCAGAGAGGGGTTCCTGTCACCCAGATCCTGGCGATCGCCTGTTCTGTTGATGGGCCCGGGGGAGGGGCAGCAGGAAGCTGGCTGTGTGTCCCCCCAACCCAGGGGACCCATCACCCTGTCAGTCACCCAGACAGAGTGACAAGGGCTATAATTTCTCCAGCTGCAGCCTTCAAGGGGAGGGAAGAGGGAGACTGCTCATGAGCTATAGAGGACCAAATGCCTGGTCACCTTGGGTGTAGAAACAGCTGTGATGGCCAGCGGGTGGGGGTGACTTCAGCCCTCAGGCTGACTCAGGGGGTGAAGTGGTACAGGGCTGGGGGGGCTGGGCAGGGTACCGAGGACACACCAGCACCACTTTCCAAGCCTGAGTCCCTCCTCCTCCAAGGAGATCTAGCTGGTGCCCAGGGCCTTGTGGCAGAGCCAAAGCCAAAACCTGTCCTCTAACTCCACTTGATCTTTGCAGGAACCTGGTTGGGTACCCGGTAGGGCTGGGGATGGAGGAGTTGGGATGTCAAGGGCCTGGCTGGGTTCCCCTCAATGGCCCTGCATCCCTGGAGACCTGTAGTCAGCTCAGAGCAAAGCAGTGACAGCTCCCATGGGCCGTCATAAGACAGACTGGGAGCAAGCCTCACTCTCCTTACCTCAGTTTGCAACTGATGACGTGGGGGGGGGACGGGGGGGAGGTAATGCCTGCCTTGTTTGCAATTCATGGCCTCTCAACGGGCCCGGGAGCCCCCCCTAGCACTGGGTCTACAAGGCTACAGCGTTACCAGGAAAGTGTGTGGGAGAAAGGCTGGGTTGGGATAGTGGTCATGAATGTGAGACACAGCCCTCCGCAACTGGAAAGAACAAGGCCCAGGCTGGAGCTCTTAGAGACTGAGGCTGCAAACATTACACACTCAGTACAGGGGCTGGTGACCCCGCCCCTCCACCAGAGGGCGTACGTAGATCCCGGCCCTTACCCGGACTAGGCGGCCCTGTTCGCTCTGCAGGGAGCTGAGGCCCTGGCCCAGCATGCTGTGTCCCTTGCGGAGTCCGGCACATTCGGCTTGCAACTCAGAGGCCCGGGCCAGCAGCCGGGGCAGCTGGTCAGCCAGTGCATCCAGCAGCTCGGGGGCACCATCCAGCCTCGGCTGGGCCTGATGGTCACTCAGGGCCCGAAGCATGGAGGCCTGCGCCCCCTCCAGGCGAGCGAAGCTGTCGGTGAGGTCAGGGCAGCGAGGGTCGATGAGAAGGCTGAGGTGGGAGCTGTCGGCCCTCTCCACGGTCACCAGGGCACTATTGGCCCCTGCAGACCCTGTGCTGATGATGGGTGGGGGGGCCGTGCCCGGCGCGTGGGCGTGGTTCAGGAAGAGGACTGCACCAGTGACAGCCACAGCCAGCAGCACTGCAAGGGACAGGAGCACCGTGCATAGCACGTAGCTGCAGCTTGGTCGCTGTAGGTCAGCCCAGGACACACAGACAGACAGACAGACAGACAGACAGACAGACAGACAGACAACAGACAGACAGGAGAAAGGAAGGGAAGCATTAGAAGCCAGCCTATGCCTGCGGCTGTGCCCAGAGAGGCCGGGAGGAAAGAGAGACCACCCTCGGGAGAAAGCTGCACGCAGCCCTGGGTCAGAGAGAAACAAGGAAAGCAGAGAGGGCTGGTGCACCAAGTTGTCCTAACAGTGGCTTAAGAACAACCGAAGCCAGAGCCAGTGTGTCACTTGCAATTAAAAATGATGCCATGGCTGTGTGGCGACAATGCTTTGGGACCTACTCGTTCTACCACGTCACTCACAGCCCCTGAGCATTTATGTATCTGTGGAAAAAAACTCAAGTCTAGAGAGGGCAAGGGGCCTGCCCAGAATCACACAGCCAATTAGGAACCAGCATACTGATTGGACCTGGAGCTCCCGCCTTTGGGCGGGGGCAGTGACTAGGCACCTCCTGTAACCAAATCTCAGCTCTCACACACGCTGCCCCTACACTCTCAACTTCTGAATCTGAGATGGCTCTTTAAATGAGTTAGTATATTAAGGCCCCTGGAGCCGTGCCTAGCACGTTACACTTCTGCAATAAATATTAGTGGCTTTTATTATCTCATGATCAATGTGCTCAGAGCATCTGGAGGTGGTTTTTATCTTCCACCCGGAGCGTTATTTCTGTGTGTCCTCTGCATCGGAGGACACCTTCCCTTCCTCATGCGTGGTAAGATCTTACGGTGTGGCTGCTGCCGGCTTGCTTTCCTGCCATGTAGAAAATAGCCATTGCGTTTACTAAGACGCCAACTGCTTCTCTGCCACAAATCCCAATGCTGCAGAGAGCTTCTGAGTCTCTTGGCAGGAGAGGAGCAGGGGCTGGGGGCAAAGGGCTGCCTTCTCCAGGAAGCCCTCCTTGACTGTTTCCTTCTCTCCGCAGCCTGCAGTGGCTTCTCCCCCAGTGCTGCTCAGGACAGATTTTTATCGCCTTCAATCCAGTCACCCATTTCATCACTTTTCTACTTACAGGAAGTCCCATGAGCCAGGCTCAGGGACTCTCCAAAAGACACATCAGTGGAGACTCAGACCCTGTGTCCCCTCCAGAGGTGTTTGTGTCTGTGACCTGATTCTCAACCTCTCTGGGGACATGGTCCCTTTGGAGCTCAGACAAAGGCTGAGGACACAGTTTCTGGGGATCCTGGAACTGGTAAGACATGGGCAGGCCACCTGCCTGGACCTTGGCCGCAGCCCCGTCGGACCACCTGGCACAACTCCGTTCTGACCTGTGAAGTGGGTGGACATACAGAGGCCGGAAGAATGGGTGGGCCAGGCCATGCCTTTGGGACAAGCTGGGACACCTGGCATCACAGAGCCTCAGGACCTCCCGGCAGAGCCTGAGCCTGGGGTTCTGAGATGCGGCTACCTCCTCTTCATAATGGCACACACGGAGTGGAGGCAGCCCCAGGCTGTACCAAGCCCCCACCCCAGGCAGGCCGGCAGCTCGCAGGTGCCTTATCCCTTACCGTAACCATCCCTCAGGCATGTAAGGAGTCCACGCCTCTGAAGCCTGCAAGAGCAGCCCCCGCTGTGAAGGCTGTGGCTGAACTCATTGTGCAGATGTGGAAACTGAGGCTCAATGACCAAAGACCCAATCCCAAAGTGACACGGGGGGTTGAGGGAAATGTTGGAGAGAACCTGGGGCTCAGTGGCTGTGGGTTGAATGTCCCCCAACATTCCTTCCTTGCTAAGCAAGGCTGGGGCTTCAGGGACAAAGCTGTGTTGGCAACTAGGAGCCTGTGGCACCTGAGCATCTCCAAGTCCTGTCATCTGATTGTGTGGCATTGAGGTCCCCCAGCCAGCTTGGAGAAAGGCTCATCATCTCCTAATGGGTCTTCAGGACTTCATCCTGATGGATTGGGCACAAGTCTTCCCAGGGGAGTGGGGACAGAGGGGACAGAGGAGGAGAGGGTGGAGGGAGTTGCAGGGTCCCTTGGAACCAGGGTGGCATGGGAGCTCAGCGATGGAGCAGGCTGCTCTTGGAGGAGAATTAGTCTTTAGAGATCAACTCTAAAGATGAAGAGCTGCTCGTTTTTATAGGCTGCGGCTTACGTGCCTCGCAGAGAAATCGCCCAAGATAATAAGGGGGCCCGGGCCAGGCGGCAGCGCTGTGCCTCGGGCTGGAGCTTATTAATCAGTCTTTGGCCAGGCAGAACAAGGTGCACCCCAACCCTCCCATACAAGGTGGGGGGTAGAGGCAGCACAGAGCCTCCCAAGGACAAGGCACAGAGCCTAGAAGGGACCAGAAGCCTGAGTCAGGAGATGGGGTTGAAGGCCTGCATGTCCCCAGCTAAAGGGATGTCTGTGATCCCTGCAATAGGGGTCAGTGGCTGCGCCTTGAGATAGTTGGCAGGTAAAGGTGCTCACTGGCGAGCCTGACAGTCTGGGCTCAATCCCAGGGACTCACGCTGTCTTCTGACCTCTATGCACTGTGGCATCTGTAACCCTGCTGCCCACCACACGAAGTAAATAAAAATTAAAAAATAATTAAGCGCTTGTTCAGTGGAAGGTTAAGGGGGGCTTGCCCCTCCCAGATATCTCTATGGGGCGGTGACATTCGTCCAATATACTTCATGGAGTCATCAGTCCTTTAGAAGACTTGGGTATCTACAGTAGAAGATTCAATACCAAGGGGCCCTGCGAACTCCATCCCTGCATATGACACCCGTCCCCTCCTCTTGCTTTCTCTCTGGTGGCCCAGTCCCGTGGGTCCTAGACAGAGAGCCTCATCGAATGAGGAGGTCTGTTGTGGACCAGGAAGGCAGGGTATCAGGGGACAGCCATTCTGTCTCCCATCCTGCGAGCCTCAGCCAGAGGCTGAGTGTGGAGCAGGGTTGCTGACTTTGTACTGGAGGTCTGGGGTGCTCTGGCTTTCTGGAAGGTCCTAGGGGCAGCCGCTGACGATGCCGAAGGTGACAGAGACGATGTGGGAGCCGCCTGAGTCATCCCTTCTAGAGGCTCAAGACGCCTACATTTTCACTCCCCAGGGAATCCTTGGCTTGGCTCTCGCTTTGCTGGCAAAGGGTTTCCATGGGTGTCTGTGAAGGGCCCCCAGATTCTGGCCTCCCCCCACATGGTTCACTTGAGCCTTAACTCTGCACGCCCAAGCTGGTCACATCTCCATCACCAGAGTCACTGAGTGTCACCCCTGGCCTGAACAAAGAGAAGACAGGACACTGGTCCCTTATATCCCTCCAGGCCCCAGATACTGGGAGTGTAGCCATGACCAGCCCCAAGTGTGCACACCTGGTGTCTGCTGTCCCCTCCCCAGGGCTAGACATACCCAGGCCCCTCTCAGGCAAATGTCACCAACAGCTCTATGGGACTCTCCCTATCCACCTCAACCACCCCTGGGAGCCTCAGGCAGGCTATGCTGACTCTAAAGACAGCTGAAGGGGAGCCCAGTGGTCTCTTCCTCCCTCACCTCAAATCTGAGTGGTGACTTCTTAAACTCTAGTAAATGAGAAGAGAAATCTTTCTTGTATGGTATCCACCATGGCCTGTGGCAGTTCCTGACTCCTGGGTTTGTCCCCAGGGGACTCCATGTTTCCCCGAGGCATGGGCTGCATCTCCCGGTGTGATGTAGGGTCTCCATAAATAGCCATGGAATTAATTAAATGCAGCAAGGACTAAGGTTAGACCTCAGGAAAGACTTCCCAAACAGAATAGCCTGCTTGCTTTCTGGACCGTTTCTACAAGTTTTGAAACACGGGGTTGGGCATGGCTGGGAGGCTAACTCCTGGAGGGCCACTGGGGTTCTCTCAGCGAGAAGCTACCATTCCCTCCGAGGAGATGGTCCAGGGTGACATCTTTCAGACATTCCAGGGCCAGAAGCTGGTATGTAGTTCCTGAGCGTTATCTGAACACCTGGCAAAAATCACTTCAGTGTCTTCCTGCCCCAAGGCACACAAGGCCCTTGCTGTGTGGGGGACAGAAGACACCCTAATGAAGTTGTAGTCAGCCACTTGGCCAAGGTCATTCATCCAATGCAGAGAAAGTCCAGGATCAGAGACAGGCAAGCCAGGCCTGAGGAGGTCCCCAGGAGTGGCCATGTTGGACGTGAGGAAGGGCTGGACTAGGCTCTGGAGGGCAGCGGGTTCAGGGAAGAACACAGGCTCTCTCCCCTTCCCCTTCGCCCCATCTGCTCAGGCCACTGGTTTGGTCCTTGGGGGTGGGGGGCAGCCTCATCTATTGTATCTGCCAGCCTCCTGTGGTGATGTGAACAAGGCTGTGAGCCATGCCTGGCCTGATGCTGGGTGCAGTCTCGGTATGATGCATCCTACTCTGGAAGCAAACAGGAGAGCTGTGGTCAGGGACAGGGCGCCGGGAGAACCAGCCTTTTTGTGGGCACACGGCACTTTGAGGGGTGCAAGCACACCAGAAGTTCACTCGACTTCCTTGTTAGCTCGCCTCGTTAGGGGAGGTGAGGAAGAACGGTATGGTCAGTCCCCATTTTACAGGCGCACCAGCTAGAAACAGCGACTTAGCACGAATCAGAGCCCAAGGTAAAACTAGGGTAGAAGGAGAAGTCCCCAGCAGAGCGGGGCACTGCCCTCTCCTTCCCCCCTACTCTCTCCATGTTCCTCAGAGGAAGACCTGGCCTCTGGTCTAAGCATACAGTGGGCACAAGACCCAGCCTGGTGCATACTGGGTCATTATTCAGTGATGGAAGGGGTGTCCAATACCCCCATACCCAGCATAGACGGCTGAGCTCTGCCGTCTGCAGCTCGAAGCTGGTCCCCAGGGCCAGCAGAACCCAGGAGGCCACGGCTGGCCCAGGACACCTTGAAGTTCTGTTTTGTAGCAGACTCCCCCAGACGCCCCTACCTCTCCTCTGCCATGTTCCTCCTGGTTAAGCATCAAGCAGGTGACCTCAGTAGCTGACCTGGGCTTCTGGGAAGGAATACAACCCGGGCAGGGGACCTAAAGGAGGCAACGGGGGAGCTCAGAGGGGAGAAGTGATCTAGAGCCAGGGGCATACTTTAAAAAACAAAACTGCTTGGACCAAGAGCCCCGCCCCAGGCATCCGGGGCAGGGGGGGTCTCCCAGAAGAGGTGGCCTCATTCCAGTCCTGCGTAGCACAGGTAGGGTGTTCCTGGATGTGGAGTGCGTTGGGGCCTGGTGGGGTGAATCAAATGAGAGAGCAAAGCTCTAGGAGTGGCGAGGGCCCAGGGAGGGGAAAGGCAGTCAGGACCGGTAAGGTACCAAAGGACAATTCCAGAAGTTAAGACCTCAGCAGGAAGGGCCCTGTCAGGAGCAGTTAAGAAGAGGAACCGAGCACTCCGGAAGGCAACCAAAGGGACTGGCAGAAGGACGATAGACTTCTTACTCCCTGGCCCAAGTGCTGTGTGGCCTGGGCATATTCCTCAGCCTCTCTGATCCTCATCTGTGATGTGGGGACGTATACTCGGGAAGAGCCACTGACTAGAAAGTGAGGTAGCATCAGGGCTTTGCAAACTGTACCGAGCTGGTCCCCCTGACAGACCAGTGTGGCTCCAGAACGAAAAGCAGGCTGCAGTTTTGAAGAGTGAGGGGCGGGCCTTGGCCACCCCCTCCTTCTCCGGTGGCAAACGCTCACTGTTCCTTCCCCAGTGACATCTGTCTGGGAGAAATTTAAAATTTAAAACGGGCAGCCCCATTATCTGCTCTCCTTGGCGAATGGCCTCCTCAACACGCCTGTCTATCTCCGTCCCTTGATGGCTCAGCCTGGGGCAGTCCTGCGGCCACCCCTCTGCCTCAGATGCCCGGCTCTGGGTAGCTCCTCCCTGCTCTGTCCCAGTGCACAGCCCTGGGCACCCTCCAAGCCGGGGTACGTTACTGTCCTGCAGAGGCAGCAGGGAGAGAGGACCAGGCAGACCCGGGTTCAAATACTTGCAGGGCTGCACGGCCTCGGGCGGGAACTGGACCTCTCCGAGCCCTGCTCTCCTGGTCTTAAAGTGGGAGAAGCACAGAGCCCAGGCTTCTTACAGGAGATAAATATTTTCTGCTCCCCTATTGGGTTTGGGAGTCTGGGTAAAGAGGGAGATGGGGTGGGGGGTGAGAGAGCAGGTCCTGATCTTGAAGCCTGGGAGGACGTGAGGGGAGCCTGACCCAGGCTGAGGACTTGCAAGTGGGGAGAACGCCCATTGTGGCTGTGGGCGAATGGGACTCGGCACGCGGATCATCTGTCTGTCAGCTGTCCCCAACTGAAGGGCTGGTCCACAACCAACTATAGGTCCCCCCTTCCCTCTGCATGAGCGAGCACGGGGGTCTCCGATGGGGGTGGGGACCGGTTGCAGCGAGTGCCTCCTGCAGGGAGCCCCGAGTTCAAGTCTCCGCTGAGGGAGGAGAGCAGGTGTTCCCCCAGCCCTGCATAAGCTCCCCAAACTCCAGCCCCCGCACCCGTCCCCGCGCCCGTGGGTACCTGAGGTTTGTCGCGCGGTCGGTCCTCAAGTTGGGACGCGCCGCCCACGGTCTTCCACCGTTCGTGGACCATCTTCCCGCAGGACCCGCGGGGGCGCAGGGCGCGGCCGAGCGCAAGGGAGGCACGAGGTGCACGGGGTGCACGGGGTGTGCTGCGCGCGCGGGAGGACCCCTCGGTGCAGGGGACCAGGGGCGGCCCGAGAGCGGCAGCCGCCAGCAAGGCTGCGTGTGAGCGCGTGTGAGCGCGGGCGCGAGCCTCTAAGAGCCGCCCGCGCCGCGCCGTCCCCGCGTCCCGCTCCCGCGCCTCCCGCGCGCTCCTCCCTCCGCCCTCCTCCTCCCGCCTCACTCTCCGCGTCTTCTCTGACTCGGACTCTCAGAGCTTTTTATTGCTCCCCGCGGCTTCCCGGGCGCGCGCACGCGGCCCGCGGGCTCCAAGACCTGGCCGCGGGTGGCGAGGACTAGTGCGCAGCAGCCCGCGCGACGGCAGCCACGGGCTCCCCGAGGAGCCCGCGCGTCCTGCGGCGCCCGCCCGGTGCAAACTTCCTATCGGGAGGGACTCGCCTAAGTCCGGGATCATCCCCGGGAAAGGGGCTGGGAGGAGACAGAGGGCCCCTTGCGCGACTCCTGGGACCCAGGTTCCCGGGACAAGTGTGCGCGTGGCCCGCCAGTCTCCCGCTCCTGGGTCTCGCGCTTGAGTCCCCGACTCCGCAGCCGGGCTCCTGCACACCCCGCAGCCCCCGCCCATCCCGGGTCCCCGTCGTCGACTCGGTCGCCAAAAGCCGGCCTAGAGCTGCCCCGACAGCGGGAGGAGGGACGTGAGCTACCCCAGTGGGGGCTTCTTAGTCGTCCCTCCCACCAGCAGCACTTTTTAAAGCGTTTAATCCGCCCGAGCAGCCATCGGAGGTAATTGACAAAGTCCTTAATCTGCGCGGTTAACGAGCTGCTGTTGTGGCTCCGACCGCGTGGCTCCCACGCGCCTCACGCCGGGCCGCGCCGGCCGCCCTTCCCCCAGCTCCGCAGAAACGCCCGGGCCCCCCGCTACTCCCGAAAGCTGTTTTCCGGCTCCGGGCGCTCTGGCCGCCGTGCTGTTCCCTGGCACCGTCTTCAATCTCTCTCCCACCGGCTGCCAGTCTGTCGCCCCGTCTTCGTCCCTCGTCTCGTCCCTCTAGGCGCCTGGCAGGCGTGGGGCAGGCCTCTTGAGGGTGGGGCCCAAGCCCGACGTGGGTAGAGTGGTCTCTGGATCAGAGCTGCACCGAGGCACCGCGGCCACATGCCCTCATCGACTGTCACCAGCCAGAAACTGGGTCCGACAGTCTGCAAGAACTCACAGAGCCACTGCTGTTGGCATCTCCTGCAGCCCCAGCGCGGCTTCCCATCAGCAAGCTGCTGGAGTTACTGCTGAGTAAGCCCAGGCCGGGGTTAGGAGAGGCTCCTTGGTCCCTCAGCGCCCACCGCCACCACCAATTAAGAGGGTTGTAGGTGGTCTCGGGCCTAGGCAGCAGACTGCATGGCCACTGGCCACTGAACTTCTCTTGACTCCGTTTCCCCCATGTATCCAAAGGGTTAACAGCATCTCATTCCGAAGGGCTTTTCTGGCTCTGGGGCATCTGGGGGGGGGCGTGGTAATGGCTCATCCTCCCCTGCGGTAACCTCAGCCAGGCTTCATGCTCTCTCAGAGCCTCGGTTTCCTCATTGAGCAGGCGAGGAGGGAGCAGAGCTATGGGGTTCCCTCGCAAGAAGCAGGTGAAGGGATTTTGACTTCAGGCAAGGTGTACCCTAAAAACCATCCTGGGCAATCCTGAACAGGAGTCTGGGGAAAGAGGTCCAAAGGTCCCAGGGTGTCCAAGGAGAGCAGTCAGCCCTTTAGGACGAGCACGCTTGGTTCAGGACCCTGCTTTGATAGGTTAGACCAGGAAAGCCAGGCGCTGAGACAGTGAACTTGAGCAGGTGCCCATAGGAGCCTTCAGGACATCTACTCCCGGGCCTGCGGAAGGACAGGTAAGCGGGGGCCACCTAGCGGCTCCTCCTGGCAGTGTTTGCCAGTGGGACTGGCCACCCGCCCAGCCAGAGTCCTCAACTCTCCAGCCTGCTAGAGTGATGGGAGGGGTGAGCAGTGGCGCCTTACCCGGTTACCACTCTGCCCGGTGCTCTTGGCTCGGGTGACGCCAGGAGGGTCAGTGGTGGACTAGGGTTGGCAAAAGCACACTCAGGCCTTGTACACTGCACTCCCCCGGTGCACTGGGTCCTCAGCCCTGCAGGGGTTTTAGATGAGGTGAGCCAGGGGGGAGTGGCCACATCGCAGACCAACACCTTCCCTGTGCTCTTTACCGGGCGGGTGGGGGCGGAGCATCAGGGGCAAGTCTATCTGCGCTCAGCATCCCGGCCGTAGCCGAGGGAGCGGCCTTTTAGCCAGCTGAGGGACCAGGCAGGGCCTCAGGGAGCACAGAACCCAGTACTCATGCGGTACAAAGACTTAATCAACCCTGGACCCTCTGCTCTGACTCACCATCTCTTCAGGGTCCCGTTTCTTCTTCCCTCAGTGTCCTGGGTTGATGACTCCCCAGGGCAGCAAGTCTGGAAATTTTAATTGAGATTCTAGAGAGAGGGTCTGGCCAAGCTCTGCCCCCCCCCCTTTGAGCCAGGATCCATCAGACACAAATTGTCAGCTGGCCCAAGGTAGCTGTCCTCCACAGGGTCTCACTGTAGTTCCGCAGGAGGACATGGCTCCTGAGTGCTTTCACACGGAGGGCTACAGGGTGGGCAGTGAGGACCAGAGACAAAGAGGAAACGGGTCACTTTCGGGACCTAGAGTGACAGCACACCCCAGTGCCAGCTCAGGAATGGCATCACCCTTCCATTCAGCCCGGGGAGGCAGGGTTCCCCCAGCCATCTTGATAAATCAAAGATATTGTTAGCCTCGTTCATGGATGATGAAACATATTCAGAAATACACAAATACAGTCAAACAGCTTACCTAACAGTCTAAAACAATGCGATTAATGCCCAATTGTCACTTACCAAGGATTTCTCGCACACTGAACAGCAACCATTCATTTGCAATAGCAACAGATTTCGCTGTCTCCTCTCCGAAGACCCGTGAGTGGTATTAATATCCCCATTTTAAAGATGAGGCAACTGAAGCTCAGAGAGGTTAAATACCTTGACCAAGAGCACACAGCAGTTTGTAGATCCAGACTTTGAATCCAGAGCTGTGCTCTGCTGGTGTCCATCTCTCCTCAGATGTCCCAGTGCTCCCTGGCTGGCCTGAGAGGCCCGGAGAGCATTGCTGGGCTGGCATGCAGCAGGCCTCCAGAGCGTGGGCTGCATGTCAAATGCATCTGTCTCTGGAGGCCTGGGGCAGCTGGCCAAGAGGTCGGGACCCCTGGCCCTCATCCACCCACCTCTCCCTCATACACTGCCCAGGGCATTCCACTCTCCTGGTAAAGCGGTTTCAACTCACCTCTGACAGTCACATTTATCATTAAAAATAAATTCGTCCTGGCTCCCCTTGGAAGGTACTGTGCAGTGATTCAGTGGGCTTGTCACCCTCGTGGTTAGGCGCGGGGAACCCAACAACTGGATGCTCTCCAGCGCCAGCGCCTCATTTTCTGCACTGGAGCCAGAAATGTACAGTGGGCTGACATTTAATTTAGAATCCAACATACCTTGACACAAACTCATAATACAAAGGCGGGGGTGGCTGGGGGCTGCCAAGCCAGGCAGGGATGGGGGAGTCCGAGTGACAGGATGGATTTCTTTCTTTCTTTTTCTTTCTTTTAGTTTTTTATGTTTGCTTTGTCAACATGATGACAAGCCAGAGACTGCCATCAAAGGCAAAAATTAGCAGGGACCGTGTGTGTGTGTGTGTGTGTGTGTGTGTGTGTGTGTGTGTGTGTGAGAGAGAGAGAGAGAGAGAGAGAGAGACAGCGACAGAGACAGAGAGAGAGAGACAGAGAGACAGAGAGAGACAGAGAGAGAGAGAGAGAGAGAGAGAGAGAGAGAGAGAGAGAGAGAGAGAGAGAGAGAGAGAGAGTTCCTGTGTGTCCATACCCTGAGTCCGCTGGGATCTTGAGGTAAGTCTTCCGGGTCAGATATTACCATACCGGAGAAATATGTGCCAAGTCTCAGGTGTCACGGCCACACTGGCACCCGGGAGCTGGGCAATACAGTCCTAATACACATGGATGGCATCCTCACCTTCCATCTGTGTCCCTAGTTTGACCAGATCCTCGGACGCACATTCAGCGCTCGGTAAACATAGGGCAGAAAGGAAATATGTCATTTTAACCATTTAAGCAGAGTCTCTCTCAGGAGGAAGCCTGGGATTATTGGACAGAACAGTCTGATGGGCCATTTAGTTGTCGAAATCGGAGGTTCACTGCCCTGGGGAGGCGGCTCAGTGGGTAAAATGCTTGCTCTACAAACAGGAGGACCTGAGTTTGGATTCCAGCAACCACATAAAAGCTGGGTGCAGCAATCTATATTTCCACGCACAGGGGGTATAGAAACAGGATTCCAGGCTGTTGCTGGCCATCCAGCATTACCAAAACGGTCAGTTTCCATGTTCAGCAAGATCTTTAGCTTAAAAAAAAAGTTATCCACATATGTGGGCAAACACATGCACACTCATCTATTGGATGCTCAAGGATCCCTGGGGAGGAGGAGAGGGCAGAGTACAAGAGACTCAAGAAACCAAGCTGGAAGGGGACAGAGAGGGACTGTGCCCCCTCGAGGGAAAATGGAAACGGGGCAGAGCAGGCCTTGCAGAGGTGGGGCGCTGTCCTTCCTATGGCCCCCTACGGCCTGAGCAGAGAAGGCAGGAAAGAGAAGAAGTGGGGGTGTGGGGGACCCCAGATGCATAGAGTTCACCACTAGGCAGAAAAGCCAAGCAGGAGGAACAGAGTACTGGGGGGGCAGCTTGTTTGAGTGTCTGCTGCGTGCCCAGCCCGAGCATCCTTCTTATACCCACGTGGCAGGAAGAGAAGAGGGAAATCCACGGAGGATAGCGCCTGTTTGAGGTGCACATCTTACCTTATCCATTTGTTTGTTTATAGAGAGAGGGGTTTCTCTGTAGCTTTGGAGCCTGCCCTGGAACTCACTCTGTAGACCAGGCTGGCCTCAAACTCACAGAGATCCACCTGCCTCTGCCTCCCAAGTGCTGGGATTAAAGGCGTGCGTCACCACCGGCCAGCTTTTCAAATCTGTAGATCTTAAGGGCAGTTTTGTCCATCAT